GATCCTACAGAATAAGGTTTATCCTGAGGCTTTATCCTAAGGTCAGGTTTCCGTGAGGTTGTAAATGGTGCGTATGCGTCCTACTGAAAGATCAAGGTTCATCCCTGCAAATCACACTCCTGGTGTGGGTGGTAGTAGAAGACAAACTAGTCAAAACTGTTAAGTCCTTCAGATATGTTCCACTTATTTAGTCCTAGTATTAATTTTTTTGTTTGTTTTGGTTTCTAAACATTAAATTGTGGTCTGAAATTTGAAATTGTTAATGTTTTCCCTGGATCAGTTGGAAGCTGGTGGAAACAGCCACCACCAAGCTGACTCCAGGACAGTGGGTTCATAGCCATGCCAGCTGTTCCCGCTCCAGAGGCTGCTGCTCATTCATTCTTCTCAAATTAAAGCTGGTTCCTTTGTCCCCCCCTTTGATTTTCAGATGCTATGGGAAAATCAGGTGAGCTTTGGGTGCTCTGCCATGTTTCCGTGCGGTGTCTGTTTGCCCTGTGGGAGCACTGCCGCAGCTCAGCGCAGCACAGCATGGCACGGCACGGCACGGCACGGCTGAAAAGTGAAATCCAGGTGCCCGGCGCTGCCATGGCGGAAGGATGCAGCCCTGCTGCCCCACACCCAATGCCCTGCGGGATGCCTGGCTCCTGCCACGGGGATTCCTCTTGGCTTCCCATCCCTTGACTTTTCGGTTGTTCTTGCACCTCACTCCCTCTCATTAATTATCGGGACAGTTTAAATGGACGGACTTACTGTCCGCTCAACAGAGGGTGAGATGTTTTGGCACTGGGAAGCCGCAGGGACAGCTTTGCAGTGAACGAGGTTGGGGACATTATCTGGGCAGTGCTGCGTGACAGCAGGGCTGGCAGGGAGCAGCACTGCACATCTGCCCTCGGGAGAGGCAGCGTCGAGAATCTCCTGGGTGCTCATGAAAGTCAAATGAAGTCAGGCTAACTCCTTGACTGCTTTTGCTGATAAAAACAAACTTTGTGCACAAAGCGGAGAGGCAGCTCTGAACACTTCTGTTCGTGTGCTGTGTTTTTTAATGATAACTCTTACCTTAAAGAAAGGTCAGTATTTCAAAGCCAAAAGTCAGTTTTCCCTGCCCATTACTTTTTTAATATCACCTAGGTCAATGGTCCTCATTAGTCCCCTCTAAATTCATGAGATAGTTGGGGCTGTTGAGTGAAGACTGAGATTGTCCCAGATTCAGATGAGAAGAAGCTGCCAGCTATGGTGACAATACAGGCGTTGTCGTTGTCTGGGGTCCCATAAAGTGAGATTGAACTGGGAGATGTTAAATGCACATCTCATGTCCTGGATCGCACATGCAAGCTCCAAACCCTTTATGCCTTTAATGCAATAAAAGCAAAGGCAGCTGTATACAAACTGTTTGGCAGCAACTGAATGTTCAGGGTATGTGGGGCTCTATAAAATCTTTTATGTGCCATGTCTTGAGCAATATACTACCAGCTGATGCCTGCCTTCTGTTTCGCAAATCTGGCAGCATTACATACAATTTTTTCTAATGGCTGTATTTAACCACTGAAAATTTCCTTTGTGCGGCGAGGGACTGCATTATGCAGAATGAGGACAAAGTAGTCTCTTCTTTCTGCTTTCTTGCATTGCTTCACATTGTAGATCTGCTTGAAAATGGATTGAGATTAATTTAAAAAACCACTCTGACTTGTTACCAAGTAGATGTTTATTCCTTCCCCAGGAACAGATGCACGAATGGAGAAGCACAAAAAAGAAAAGATACGTGTTTGGGGCACTGACGTTTCAGGGCTGGGGGGGGGCACATGTCTGTAACCAGGCGCATTTTACGAAGGATTCCTGCCTATGGCAGAGAACCCAAGCAGCTGGGCCTGGCCGGGGCAGCACCAAACACTGGTCCTGATGTTGGTTTGACTCACGCTAGATCCCTGTCAAGAGCTGTATTAATATGATCATTAACTATTAATGGCTGTGGTATTTATAGCGGTACAAACAGAGCGTACCTGGGGCACGGGAGAAGTGCCCTCTCGCCTCAGCCATCCATTGGCGATGGGGTGCACCGCCCCGGGAGCTGTGCCGTCGGTCAGCACCGCAGTGAGAAGCGTGCACCACCATGGGCACTCGCCCCAGGCCACCCTGCACGGCCCATGGGTGCAGGTCAGCCACCTCCAGCTTGTCCCACGTGGCTGCCCCTGCCACCCTGGTGTTTTGGGAGGCTTGGCTGGAAGAAGGGCATTTCCATTGAAGCCCACGTTGGTGATTTTTTCCAGAAAACAGAGAACAAAAATTTCCAGAGCGGCTGAAACTGCCATTATTTTGTATGTAGGTGATGCTGTTCCATTTCAGAAAACTATTTATTATGATTACAGAGTACAAGAAGTTTTCATCATTTTCTCATTTATTATACTAGGTTTCCATATTCCCTGCAGAGAAGTGAGAAGCAAATTACATAAATGTAAAATGCAATACCTGTTAAGATATTGCAAGTCACAATCTAAAAAAAAAATAAATTTAGAAATTAATGAGCTTCTAGCCATAATGTGAAATAAACTGACATCAGGAAAGAATGTTTTTCAGTGCCTGGATGGCTGTTTTTCAAAGGTTTGTTTTTAGAGAAGTTGTATAGCAATGACCATGTTTTAAAGGGATATTGTTAGGTCTTTTCTGCTCGAAGAGTTTATAAAATACAAAGTTGTTTTTGCCTAGTTTATTAAATGTACAACCGGTTTAGTCTGCTTTAGGCAGGGGTTGGATCCTGCTGGTGCTTTGCATTGCGCTAGGTAGTTCATTATTATTATTACATTTGCACAAAGCGGGGATTTTACCGTATGTTTTTGTATTATGAACAGTCCCTGGCAGCTGTAGCCGATGGACTTTTGCATGCCCACAGGCGGTGGAGGGGACCATGCCAACCAGGGGACGGGGACAGGGACACCTGTTCTGGCCCGATA